ACATCTGGCCCCCCAAATCAAAGACCCAATCCAAAGATGAGCATCTGAAATGAACACACATTTCTCAGATGAAGATGATACATACAGGAAAACATGCTCAACATCACTGGTCATTCAAGAAATGCAAATTAAAACAACTGAGATTCTATTCCAGCTCCCTCTAGAAAGAATGGCTGCCATCAAGAAATCAACCAATACCAAATGTTAGCAGGGCTGTAAGGAAAAAGGAACACTTCTCACTGCTGGAGGGATTGTAGGGTAGTGCAACTACTGTGGAGATCAATGTGGAGATTCTTCAAAAAAACTAGGATTAGAAGCTGATTTTAACCCAGCTATTCCCCTTTTCAGTATTTTCCCAGAAAAACTGAAAATGTCACGCTACAGCAATATACGTGTACCCATGATTATAGCAACACAATTTGTAATAGCTAAATCTTGGAAACAACCAAATGTTGATCAACAACAGAATGGATAAAAAAGATACAATACTTTTATACAATGGAATATTACACAGCTATAAAAAGAATATTCTTGAGGCTTTTACAGGTAAATGCATGCAACTTGAGACCATACTCCTAAGTGAAATGAATCAAACTTACATTTATAAATATCATATTGACTCCCTTGTATAAAAAAAAATCTGAAAGTGTAGTAAGATTCAAAATATACATAGATATTGTAATAATGAAAGGGAAAGGAAGTACTCAAAAGGACAGAACTACTGGGATAGGGGAAAGGAAAAAAGGAAGAAAGGACAAGATTATATATGTGTTGGTAAACATATGTAAATGTATGTGTATGTATGCTAGATAGATAACTATACTACTACTTTCTCTTAATTCATCAAAAAGAACAGTTTGTGCTGTCACTGATTACTTTTGTGTCTAGACTTTGTAATCTGAACTAGTTCTGAGATAACAAAATGCAATATGTTAGTGTTAATTCCTTACTTTTTTTTGAAATTTCGTATCAATTCTATTCTTTGTTTTGTTTTTTAACATAAAAAAAAGACATGATCCACTTATCAAGATTTATAGCAGTATGTCAGTATAGTTTCCAAGTTAAGTACTTATCTTTTAACTTGAAGGGAAATGAATTTTGGGTATTTTATTCATTTGAAAAAATATTTAAAGCATATCTACTTCCTGTTAAGCTCAATGGCCATAAAAACAAATTAGACAAAATTCTTGTCCTTTCTCCCTTGATAAGTACACTGGGACTGCGGAGCTCAACAAATAGGAATGGGATATAAGCACCTATATAAGCAACTCTGAAACCACAGAGGGAGTAAGTGAAAATAATCTTAGCACTGTGGGAGCCTGAGGCAGAATGAGTACAAATTTGAGACCAGCCTGGGTAATTTAGTGACTTTGCAAGACCTTGTCTCAAAATGAAAAATAAAAAATATAAAGGGCTGGAGATATGGCTCAGTGCAAAGGACCTGGGTTCAATTCCCTGTATCATATAATGCTCCTGCTGCTGCTGTTGCTGTTGCTGCTGCTGCTGCTGATGGTGGTGGTGGTAAGAACAACAAAATGTTATACAAATGTAGGGCAGAGATGATTATTCAAGATATGACTCCTACACCCCATACTAACAGTCTGCTGCTTACGTCTATGTGGATATCTAATTGGCATCTCAAACTTAATCTACCTAAAATCAGGTGCCAAAAAATTCAACATATCTGACCCTCCTGTTTTATCCCTATAGAACAGCTATACTATTTTTCTAATTGTTTGGGTCAGAATGTTAATGGTTTACCTTAACATCTTTTTCTGACACTCCACGTGCAATTCAGCAAACCCTGTCACTTCTATATGATAGTGTATTCTGTTGCCAGTAAGAATACCACAGACTAGATGAGTATTAATAAAAAAAGCTTTATTTTGGTCCACAGTTCTGGAGGTTCAAGGTCAAGAAGCTGCATTTCTATGATGGCTTTCTTGACAGCCAAGTCATAAGTAGGTCCCTGAAAAGCAGGGAGCCTGCATGAGTATCTGAGTATTCTCTGGTCTCTCCCTCTTTTATAGTCATCAGTAATTCAACCAATGGGGCTTCACCCTGGTGAATTTAGCCAACCCTAATTACTTTCCAAAGGTTCAACTCTAAAAATACCATAGTTGTATTAAATTTCTACTCTATCTCTTTTTTTTTTAAAGACAGGGTCTCGCTCAGTAGTCCAAGCTGGCCTTGAATTCAGTATGTAGCCAGCCCAGGCTAGGCTGGATACTGTGGTGATCCTCTTGCCTCATTCTGCTGAGTCCTGGGATCACAGGCATGTGTCATCATGCCTGGCTTTCCACACTCTTCACACCTCACAACAGGGATTAAACGTCAATAAATGATCACTGGGGGATAAATTCTAATCATAGCAGATACTTCCAAAACCCACCCAAAATCTGATCAGTTCTCAGCATTACTACTACCATTCTTGGATGAGCCAATGCTATCATCATTTCTCAAGCAGAGCTTTCTACAAGGGCTGTCTGCTTCTGTTTTTGACTCGGTTTATTTTGTTAAAATGGAGTATTAGTCTGCCATAAAGAAAAATTAACTTGAAGCATTCATAGGTAAACAGATGCAACTTGAGAATATAATATTAAGTGAAATAAGTCAGAAACACAAGCTTTTAATGGTTTGTCTTATATAGAAACTCAAACACACAAAGAACAAAACAATAAAGATAAATAGGAAGTCGGAAAGAAGTTCAAATAACATTTCAAAATTACTATACATTTAATTTGTTTCATTTATACTACCAATTTCTCTTTGTTCATTGAAAAGAAAGTTTTGAGTGCTTATCTGCTTGTTTGTTCTTGATAAGAGTTTTCAGCTTTTTTTTGAGAAAGGGTCTTGCTGTGTGGTTGGGCTGCCTCGAACTCACAGTGATCCTCTTGTCTCAGCTTCCCAAATGGCGGAATTACAGGTTTGTGCCACCACAACTGCCAGCAAAAGTCTTTTTGTCTATGTCTTATGATCTGAGTGACTACTTTTAAAACTACGATGCACAGTGTATTAATGATAGTTATTCGCTTATTATTTTGTTATGAAATTATTTCATTTTCTTCATAATTTTTTTTAAAAGAATGCAAGTCAGTTTATAACACCTCTCATAACCCAATAGTGCCTTGTATCATTCTGAGTACCGGTTAAACTCCTAAAAGAATTTTAAAAAAGACTGAACAATATCCATATGAAGTAAGGTATTTATTTGAAATTATATTTCAATATCTAGTTCAGCAGTCAAAAATTAGTGTTTTTCTAATCATTTAGCATATTCACCACACAGCCATAATCCATGTTTCACTCTGATGGCTTGAACACCAGTGGTACAAGCCGCCCAATGGGACAGTCATGTGTGTATCACAGGTAGTTACATAGGTAGTGAATCTCCCTAGAAAATATGTAAGAAACAGAAACTTTGCACACCATTTCAAGATTATTGTGAACTTTCTTAAAGTCCATTTATGAAGTTTCACATAAGTACACATGGAAACACTAAAAAAAAATAGAGAATAATGGCAGAAAGACAACTGGACAATAATGGGCAGCTGAAACAAAAGACTAGAAATGACAAGGTATAAGTTAATAGACTTTTGAATAGTATCTTTTGGGTTCTCTTGTTTCTTTTCATTCAGAGCAAGTTCTTGGATCACTGGCATTCATAAGATATCTGTTTAAATTTAACCAGAACCATAACTTCAGAATCTTTTGGAATTTGCTTGCTTGTTTTTTCTTTCTGAGTCAAGGTTTCATTAGGTAGTTCAGGCTGGTCTTCAGCTTACTATGTAGCACAGGCTGCCCTTAAACTCAGTGATCCTCCTGCCTGGCCTCAGCATCCCAAAGCTAGGAATACAGGCATATACCAGGACACCTGGCCATTCTGTTGCAAGTTTAAAACATTCTTTATGACTTACTCAAGTCCAGGGCACCTTTTACTTACACTTCTTTGTATTTCTACATAGACAAATTGATTTCTTAGAAGCAATCATACTTCTGCCCTCCTCAATTTGGAACCCAAACCTAGCCAGCTCATCAGTGTCTATAAAAATCAGTTGATAAATCAATACATCTCCCAAATCGAACCAGGTATGACAATACATGCCTATACAGTGTATAGTTTCAGCTGCTCAGGAGGCTAAGGTAGAAGACAGCTTTCGCCCAGGAGATTGAAGCCAGCCTGGGCAACATAGCAAGGACTTGTTTTAAAAAAAACACAAAGAAAAGAAAATTCCCGAATCAACTTTACTATAGAAAACATCTAAGATTTTGGTTAGAGAAGAGAAGGTCATGTCACAAAGTGTGGCATTTTGCTATTCTGCTGGCTCCAGTACCTTCCCATCCCCACCCTCCAGGGTTTTTTTGTTTTTTATTTCTTTCTCTCGTCATAACAAGCTAATTCTTCTCTTTGGGCCGGCGGTTTAGCTCAGCGGCGTAAGTGCCTGCTTAGCAGACATGAAGTCATGAATTCGATCCCTGCTACCAAAAAAAAAGAACTACCCATATTGAAAAACCTGTGGCTTCTACAATCAGGTCTCTGTACCTTAAAGGACCTTCACAAACAGTTTCTTTTCTAAACATTTAGAAAACTAGAGAATAAATATTTCTCCAATTTACATCTCAATCACAGCAATCTTTTAACACTTCACTGTCTACTTTGATATAAAAAGTCTTGATTTTTAACTCTAATAATGCTTAGATTATATTAAAATATAATACATACACTAAAAATCCAGAAATACTTCATTTTCCTTGAATATGCAACACACACAAATAAAGGGCTCATAATACACTTCTTTTAGGTAATGTAATTTCATTTGTGCAGTAGCCTCTTCTACCTCACTTGACACTCTCTGGTTAGGTATTCACTGGCTTACAGCCAGTGCGTATTTTCTTTGTTACTTAGCAATAGTCAGTAAGATTTAACCCTTATAATGAATAAAAAGAAGTATATTCCTTTATTTTTACATATTCACTTTTATCTGTTATTTGAAAATGTAAGTCAATGAGGTACTGGCAGTAATAACTGAATTTACTACTAATGTGTAATAATACCTTAACTCTTAGAATTATGTTGAGGCCTTGAAAAACAATTCATAATGTTATAGTTTGTGTCTAGATGTCTCACCAAAGCCTCATTCAGTCATCGAATTGGGTTTGTAGAGTTTGTGATTAATTCATGGTCCAATGCCGGGATTATGGGTATGAGTGTTATACCCGACCTGGGGCGGGTAGCCTGCCTACAGTACAAGGGAGAGAAAGAGGCTTGCTCTCATGCTTCTCCCTTTTTGTTCATGCTGCTTTTGCTGTTTCCTGCTGCCATGAACTGCTGCCTACAGTAATGTGCCCAATTAGCTCAGAACCCAGCTGATTATGGACTGAAACTTCCATAAACTATGAGATAAATACACCTTTTCTCCTTTACTATTTAATATTTTTGTCCCTGCAAGAAGAGAAAAATAACCAACACACATAATTTTTCAAAAGATGTTTCTTTCCTCTGTAAGTATTACCAACCTGTTTGAACATCAATAACCATCTGATGACCCCCTCTCATTCCTGGCCGGTTATCTTCTCCATCACCTAAACCAGAAACAATGTTTTATTTTAAAACAACAATAAAGAATAACTGCAAATCTACAATAACTTTATAAATCTGTATTAGACAGTAAAAATAACCCACATTTACTCTTTCAACCTATTAAAAATTAGTAAAAGCATTCATTAAAAACAGTACAACTTAAATCTATGTTTGTATTTATTGTGATCTTCCTCTCAGTTGCCTTCAGGCTATTAATACAACCAGAAGCTATTCTCAGTTTATTTGTGAACAATGCCGTAAATCAATAAAGATACTGGATATTCTAAAAAAGACTAAGACAAAAATCTCAAAATTATAGTACTGAAATGTCAAAGTGAAGGTACACAAAAAACACAAAAATAGGTCTCATGTCTTTACTCCAGACACAGCTTCTTAGTATAATGAGCAGTTTTAAAGTTCATTAACAGTAGCTACAGAAAACTAAGATGATTAAGTTTTATATTAATAATTTTTATTGCATTTATTTTGTAACAGTGCTTCAGAAACACCCTACTTGATTTTCTGAACTATTTTGAATACTGAGAAACTGTATGACTTACTTCACTTTGATTTTTATATTTACTCAGAGCTTAGTAGGCAAGTAAAATCATAGTGTTTTTAAACTTCTGAAGGGAAAAATGACTGTTGTATTTATATCTAATCCAACTTTATACTAAGTCATGTAAATGAAGAAATAACTTCATTTGAATGACTCAAAAGGTTATAGAACTCCAATATCTTAAAATAAAAAAAGAAAGCCTGTGTCTTCTTAACAATTTTCTCATTGACTGAAAGACATAACTTGACTAATAAGGTTCCTTGTTTCACTTATGTAAACTTGAGAACTATTATCTTTTTATTAATTTCACAGGGCTACTATACAAACAATTGAAATGCAAGTTCCTACATAGTCACATACCATTTACAAATGAAGAAATGTTCTAAGAAATATGTCACTGTGTGAACACCATACAGTATACTTACACAAACCTAGATGGTATAGTCTATTACATGTCTAGCTACAAAGGTAAAGCCTATTGCTCCTAAGCTACAAACCTGTAGAACAGTGGTGATGAACCTGTGGCATGCATGCCAGAGTGGGCTGTTTGTATTACTAAAAAACCTAAAAGGTTCGCCATAACTATTGCAGACTATACGGAATGTTGTAAGCAACTGTAACACGATGTTCAGTATTTGTGCATGTAAACATACCTGAACACAGAAGAATTTCAGTAAAAATACCAAATGGTAGGAATTTTTAGCTCCCTAAAAACTTATGGAATCATCATTAACCAAAACACTGTTACACAGTATGTGACTATATAAAGAAAATGTGACAGAAAACAAAGCCTCCTGGTTACCACTATATTGGACGGCCAATCATTCACATATTCACTGGAAATTCTTTTTCATTTCTAATAGGTGGCTTTTTAGATTCTTCAGTTCAATGTCACTAAAGGTTTGCCCTTTTCTTCTTCCCCTCCCTGTCAGTACTGTCACTTTCAAGAAATGATTAAGTAAATACAATGCATTTGTTTTCATTTTATGTAATTTTTAAAGTTCATCATTTTCCAAATATACATGTGTCTTTTAAGAAAATTGTCTTACATATGACTGGTAAAGTAGAATGATGTTCATGTTAATGCAGAAATTATGGGAAGTCCAAGAATAATTTTTCTCTGCATATTAGTGTCTAATATGATGAAAGGAAAGCTTTCCCTAGTTAAGACTTAGTAATATATTAAGTCTCAGGTACCAAGTGAATATCCCATATAATTTTCTTCCTTTAATGAAAGTAGTACAATGAGAAGCTGTTACACTTGTCACTATAAGAACTCTCTGGCAAAGCGGTTTATGCAGATAAGGAGTGACAGAAATGTTCCTCTTTATAAAAATAATTTAATTAGTACAGATAAACAAGAGACAAAAAATCCCCCTCTATGAAAATGGATTAATGCTCTGACCCAGACTCTAAGTATTGACAAAAATAGTCCCTATGAGAAACTAATGTCCTCTGGGATCATACTTCAAATAAAAAAGCATAAACCCCAAAACTTAAAGTTCCAAATTTAGTATGGTACTCTAGAAAAATGCCTGTAAAGATTTAACTGTACTATATTTTTATTAGATTATACTGTGTTTTTCAGTATCCAGTTAGAGGTCCCACACATTGATAATGGTGTTCCCTTGTTTTTCTAAGAAGCCCTGTTAAGGTTAGAGAGCAATTCTGCAGAACTTAAAAAAAGTTTTCAGGAACATATATACTTCAACCTTTCAGTTTGTTTGTTTGTTTTTAGTCAGTGTCTCATATGAAGTTCAGGCTGGCCTTCAACTCCCTTTGTAGCCTTTGCTGGCCTTAGAAGTTGCAGCAATCCTCCTGCCTCAGCCTGCCAAGTGCTAGGATTACAGGCATGTATCACCATGCCCAATCATAATTTTAATATACTTTCAGAAAGCACTTATGATAGCATTTTGGGGTGGGAGGGATACAGACAACTGACCAACCTTTTGTTAAAGTAAAAGTTTAAAAATAGAGCTGAGAACATAGTTCAGTAATAGAAAATTTGCCCAGCAGGTACAAGACCATAGGTTTAATACACACCAATAGAAAACAAAACAAAAAACGCCTCTGTGTATGTGTGTGTGTGTATGTTATGCTGCAATCGAGTTAAGGAACACACATGTTGTTTTAAATGCCTGCTTTTTATAAACAGAGTACCATGACACTTGAGCTATATTACTAAGGACTGAGATGCTAACAACAAACTACACCAATATAGAAGGCATGTCTTACCTTTGGTGCTTTTGGGAATGATTTGACTCCATCGTGGTTTATATTCCTGTTGACTGATATACTGATTGAACAAGCCATCTACAAATATCAAAAAGTAACAAAGAATTATATCTTAGCCAGACTTTTTATTAAAGGAAAAAAAAGATTAAAATGTGGAGGCCTACATTAAAAGTAATTACAAATATTTCACTAATACAACAGCATTTTCATAAAATATACATCACTTCATGCTTCCTTAAATATGAACAGTAAAGTGTTAGTTGACATAACCACATAAATTGCATTAGTGGCAGATCATATTAATGTACTATATTTCCCAAAATTATTGCATCTATTATATAATGCATAATATATATTATATATGGTAACTATGGGGTATTAACAAAGGATATAAACAGAAACCAAGCAAGAAGAAAAGGGGAATCATCTGGAAAAAAAGTTGAAAGATGATTTTAGGCTATAAATCAGAAATAAAAAATAAGACAACTTATAAATAACTTGAACAAATGTTTTAAAAGTTACTGAAATACAGATATGCGCAGCCTTGAAAAACTTTCTGGCATTTGTATGAATACAATAGAAAGAGGAAAGGATAAAGACCAGAAAAATTTTAATTCCATTATGTGATCTCCCATCACTTATCTTTATTTTACTACATTTTTAATCCTTATACCCTCAAATGAAATTGATTCACTGCACTCCAATCTCTTCCTCTCAACAGTGGTTAATGTCAGTGCTTTTTTGTTACCATGATACAACATATCTAAAAAAGGAATGGAAGACTAATATCTTTAGTGTAGGCACTTTATAATATATCTTCAAGAAAACATATCCATTATTACATAGGGGTTTTTTGTTTCATTTTGTTTTCAGTACAAAATTACATAGCAGCAAAAGTTCCAGCAGTGTAACAGAACTGTTTTTTTTTTTTTTTTACTTTTATTAGTGCATGCTTACTACATAATGACTACACTCACTTTAGGGTATTAATACATGTACATAATGTATTTTAATTCCCTTCTTTTTCACCCCTCCCTCTATCTTTTACTTTTTCAGTATCAGATTCACTTATTTACAAGACCTCATAAAGTTAATTATCATATATACAGACTGAAAAGCAGACTAACAGGCCAAAGAAGATATAAAATATGTAAAACAATTACACTAAGTAAAAATACATTTTTAGATACATGGTCCACACTGGATTACAATGTCTTTTTTTCCCCCCTTCTTTCCTATTATCTGTCTTTTATTTTATACTTTGTAAACATAATGAGTTTTTCATGTAAAAGAAACCAGGCAATGTTTAAGCTTGTGCATCTGAATTACTTCACTTAATACTATGGTCTCTCAAGGTAACCTTCATTGTCCTACAAATGATTCAAGTTTATCCTTTGGAGAATAGTACTCCATTGTCCATAAATATCATATTCACCTTTTGATGAATATATAAGCGGTTCCAAGATTTAGCTATTATGAACTGTGCTGCTATAAAATGGGCATTTATATATCACTGTGATAAAATGTTTTAATTTTTTTAGGAAGATACTTAGAAAGGAGTACCTAGGTTAAACAGAATTTCTACTTTAGTTTTCTGAGGAATCTCCACACTGATTTCCATATGTCTTCCTCAGCTTATGAGCCCATCAACAATGGAGAAGATTTCCTCTTCCCCCACAGCTTTGCCAGCATTTATTATTGGTTGATTTCTTCATGGCAGCCATTCTTTTTGCAGTGAGAAAGAACTTCAGTGTTGTTTTAACTTACATTTCTTGAATGGCCATCAATGGTGAACATTATTTCATGTATTTATTGGCCATCTGTATTCCATTTGAAAAGTTTCTATTCATTTCTGATACCTACTTTTAAATTGGGTTTTTTAATTGGGAGTCTAATTTTTGGGCAGTTCTTTATATATTCTAAATATTACTCCTTTGTCAGAGGAGTATCTGGCAAAATATATTTTACCGTTTTGTAGCCTGTCTCTTCATTCCATTAGCCATTTCTTTTGCTGTGTAAAGAACAATTACTTATTGAATACTTTCCAAATGTTGAACCTGTGCTGCTTTACTTCTTTGGTTCAATTCTAAAAACAACCCTAAGAACTAGGCATTATCATCTCTATTTTACATATATGGAAATACATATTTAGAAAAGTTTAAAAATTTAACCAAAATCACATAGCTCTTTAGTGGGGTTAGAATTCAGGTTTTACTATCCTTACTTCTAAATTTCTCATCAATATATTCTTAATCTACTTCCTATAAAGAGTTGTTACACTAGTTGTTTTAACTGTATTCCTACCATAAATGATTATCATGCCCAACTCACACCCTTCAAAAACATCTGTTTAGCAATAGTATAGAACCCAGTTCTCTAAGCAGACCATACAGGTGAAAAAAATAAACTAATTTTATTCTTCTAAACATTTTCATATCCATATGCAATGCACAACTACAAATGTCAATTTGTAGAGGTAAATAATAATGATAACATTTTATAATGATAATAGAATGGAGATAAAGAAAACTGGACAGAATATCAACCAATCATAAAATTTATCTTATCTCTGGACTTGTTATGTGATATAGTAATATTTCCTTACTAAACTCGGGGTTTTATTTCACTTGTACCCAAATGCATCATAATTCATAGCTATTTTTACTATAAATTCTCTTTTGAATCTGATTTCAACCTGAAAATGCATTTTACTTTCTGTCACTGAAAGCAAAGACTTGTCAGTAAAAACAAGCAAAGATTTGTCAGTAAAAAAAAAAGTTATATGTAAAACTATTTCCACAACTTGTATACTTGTCAGTGTCGTGCAATTTAGATAGATCTCCTGAATCTCTTTTTTTTTCTGGGTAATTTATGAAGCTCAGTTGTAACAAACCTTTTCATCTTTCAAGTGTTTCTGGCTTATTGTAATGGGAAATTCCATCCCATATACTTATCAAATTTCTTTACCATTGCAATTTCTCAAATTCTTACAAAAATAAAATTTCTTTTAAAATTAACATTCTTGGGCCAGAGATTTAGCGCAGCAGCACAAGCGCCTACCTGGCAAACACAAGATCATGAGTTCAATTCCTGGTACCAAAAAAAAACCTTTCACAATATTAAAAAATACATAAATAAACACTCTAAATAGTATTTAGATTTAAATTGTTACAGCAAAAAAGAGTAAGTATATTTACAACTTATTTTCGAGAGTTTATAGTATATCATTTACTTGCTGGTAAGCCTTTCTACCCATTCTTGCCCTTTTTTTAAACAAAATTCTTCTTCCATTATAAGAGTTGGAAATTTTATTCAGATAATTTGCGTGGAGACTCCTATTCACAATAATATGTAACAGTGAAAAATATTAATAGTATACTTAAAATTATATAGAAATAAAACAGTAACGAAATGTTTCACTTTGAACAAAAGACATAAAAGGTTTTTAAACACTTTTTAAAAACTAAATAAAATTATTCAATAAACACCTAGACTTCAAAAAATTTACCCATATGCACAACTAAGCTTCACTGGTTCGATGGGCCTGAAATTTCTTCTAAATTCTGTGATACATTGTTAGAACCAGTGTATTTAACATTGTGTCTGCTTGATTTCACCTATGTTCATTTATGAACAGTTACCATCTCTTCTTTTTCCTTAACCATTATGTAACTCTATCTTAAAAGAAAACTGAAAAATCCACTGGAGGCAATTCTTTCAAAATTTCTCGGGGCAACAATTCTAATTAAAGAATCTCATCTGTGATCATTACATGATTCTCAACACTGTGGGTAAAATTAAATGCTCGTTGCTTTTTTGACCAACACTTTCATTCAAGTTTGAGCACAGCTTGGGCAATTTAGCAACTTAGCAAACCTGTCTTACAACCAAAAATAAAAAGCAGCGGAGGATGTAACTTAGTGCAAAGGTCCTAGGTCAACACCCAGCACACCCTCCCTCCAAAAGTAATTTTCTTAGGTTGTCAGGATTAAGATGATTTTTAACATGTTGTACTTTTTTATTTTCCAAATCTTTTACTTTCAGGACTATATTTATCAGATGAAAAACCTTAAAACATCTAAATATATGAAACTATTTTCTAAACTTGAAGAATTTCGTATAGTATTGTTATAGTCCCCTTCATGTACAATGTGATACATTTCAAGAACCCCAACAGATACCTAAAACTATAGATAGCAGAAAATTATATATATATATATATATATATAGTACTATTTTTTTTCCATACATATGTGTGATGATGTTTATTTTAAAATTTGGAGCAAGAAATTAATAGTAATTAATAATAAAACAATTGTAATAATGTATCATAAAAAGTTATAAATGTAGCATGCTCACATTTCTTTTTCTTTCTTTCTTTTTTTCTCCCGGACAGGGTCTCACAATGTAGGTCGAGCTAGCTCTGAACTCACTATATACCTCTGGTGGCCTCAAACTCATGGGGATACTCCTGCCTTAGCATCCCGAGTGCTGGGATTACAGACACGAGCCACAAGGCCTGGCTCCTCATTCCTTTTTCTAAAACGATAGAATTTTCTATTTAACTTGTTCATTACAGTTAAATGCACCTAACTAAATCCATAAAATCAAAACTGTGGCTAAGGGGTTTAAGTCACTTTCATATCTTTTGTTATTCCTGAAATGCCTCTTCCTCACAGCTCACTAAATACATCACGCTTCTATAAGCAGTGCTTTGTACATTGACATTAGCTTGTTTTAACAAGAATAGAGTCAAGTATAGCTGAAGGCATTTACAGTAAGGCTGACAGAGGAGATTACTTTCAAAGTTTAAATACCAAGTCTTCCAACCAGAAAGAAATTAGGTAAGATGAAACCAACCTTCTCTTGAATTTGTTAATAGCACAGTATCGGGTGTGTTTAGGATAAAATAAATGCTCATAATTTTTTAAAAGTCCCCTTGGTAGGCTGACTCTTCATCCTTGTTTCTGTTGCTGTGCAAAAGATTTTGAATTTGATGTAGTCCCATTTGTTGATTCTTGTTATCTTGTGTGCTACTACAATCCTATTTGGGAAGGCTTGGCCTTGTCCCTATGGTT